GCAGAGGTAGCTATAATACCTAAGGCAGGAAAGAAAGACTAGACGTCACCCTAATCCTAGAGACCTATAGCACTCCTCTCCTGCATTAGAAAAGGACTTAAAAGGAAAGTGGCTAGAAGAATAGTGTAGACTGCTATAACCTACAAGATCCTTAGCCCCTAACATAGAGGCGCCCTCCTAAAGCGCTCTGCTATAGATCTTACTGCAGCATTTACTTATAACACAGAAGCTGCGTGGGCTAAAGGCTAGCACGTTATAATAGTAATATTAGATGTGCAAGGCGCCTTTAACGCTCTCTATAAGAACTGCCTTCTGCACTAGATAGCCTAATAGGGCTAGCTACAAAGGACTATCCTCTTTGTTAACTCTTTCCTTACTAATTAAAGGGTCTAAGTACGCCTAGGCTAAGCCACTACCCCTAGCTGCCTAGTCGCCTGCGGCACGCTGCAGGGCTTACCCCTCTCCCTAATCCTGTACACACTGTATCTAGCAGAGCTGCTGTCTATAGACACAAAGAAGAGATTTAGATATATAGATAACATATGCTTATACTAAGCCTTACACTCCCTAGATAAGAATGTTAAGCTCCTAGCAGTAGACCTACAATAGATTAGAGCATAGGGCACAGCTAATAAGGTCACCTTTACCCTAGAAAAACAAGAAATAATCTACCTTACTTAATAGAAGAGTAGCTACATACCCCCCTGTGTGGTAGACAAGCATTACACAATTAATCTAATCTTACTAAACATGTTAAGAAACTAGCTAGCCCTCTAATAGCTAGGGATCTAGTTTAACTGTAAACTTACCTTTAAGCAGTATGTAGCCACGCACAATGCAAAAGCAGCTAAGGTAGCCTACTATATCCACAGCCTAGCAAACACAGCCTACAGACCACCAGCTAGCTCCCTTCGCAAGGCTACCCTCGCCTGCGTATACCCATCTCTTCTGTATGGGACTAAGTGCTGGTACAGAGGCTGTACTAAACCTCCACGTACACTTAAACCTGGAGGACCAGCAGAAGTCAGCACCTATGTTAGGTGGCACATAGCGGTTATGGACAAAACACTAGCTATAGCAGCAAGAGGGATCCTCCCAGTGTGGCGAACAACCCCTATTGCTACTCTCTTCTGAGACGCTGGACTACCCTCTGCTGCCACTGCGCTAGAAGAAGCCAAACTCCACTTTGCAACAAATCTACGCACGGTAGATGCAGAACATCCACTTGCCAGCTGCACAGCAGCTATAAGGATGAGCATAGGCAGGTTAGCTAGAAAGCTGCAGCAAATGCAGACTAAGGTCTAGTATCTAGGATCTCTTCTACCTAAGATACCTAGGACAACACTATTAGCCCCTTA